CCGCCTATCTAATAGTGTCACGCTTACAATTTTATAGACTTTTTTTTTACGCGCTTAGGGCATGTCTAGCCTGTGTAATAATCCGGGGCTTGGGTGAATCACTTTTGAAAAGTTTTTAACTTACCCGAACACCAAGCTCTCTCCTTCCTCGCTGATGATTCTGACATGCTTGCATTTAAGTTGCTGCATCATCACCGTAGTACTCCCGTGCCATGCTAAGTCTGACCTACAAACGTTGCAGGTAACGAATGTCTTCGCCTGATTTAACTGAAAATGCTCCCAAACTTTAGAAGTTTTTACTTTTTTTGGGTCTCGCTGCTTCTGCCATGTTCCTCTTCCAAACACCTGCCGGCTCTCTGGTCTGCACGCAACGGCGGGTGGGAGGGGAGGGGGCTTTTGGAAGAGTTGTGCAACACAACAAATCGATGACACAATTCGTTGCCAACGCTTTTAGTAATCGATTTTCATCGAATTTATCGATTCGTTGTTGCAGCCCTACACCGCAGCCACGGTAAACCCACTGAGATAATGTTTTTTTTTTTTTTTTTTAACAAGACGGTTATTATTGTCAACTTTTTTACCGGGGTTTACCGCTACACTGGTTACTGTAACAACCCTACCTGATCGGTCTGCTTTGATCTATTTTGAAAACTCCGATCAAAACCGATAGGGGCGCTATCGGCCGATTGGGATCAAATGCCGATCCATCGGTGCATCCCTAGTGTGTGGGCTGCAAAGTTTACCGTGCAGTGCACTGTTGAATTGGGACATAATCTCAGCTTATTCTTTTTCTCTCTCGCACACTCCTGGTTGCTCAGACAGAAAGCATTATCAAGCCAAAGTAGTGTGTGAGCTATTAAAAGGTGACCTACTTTTTCTAGGGCATTACCAAAAAAGAACGGCTGAATTCTAGTTATGAATATCCAAAAAATCTTGACAGAGAGGGGTGGGATCGGAGAGGCATGTCTCTTGCCTTAGGGAGGTTAGAAGGGGTTGTGTTGAAATGGAGAGGAGGGGTGGTTGTTGGAGAGCATCGGTAAGGGCATGGAAATGGTTGTAGCTAGTGGGAAATGGGGTAGGGGAAAAAAAAGACAGAAGCATTTAGTGTGTAGCCTGGTCAAAGGGGGACACAGTGGTTACGAGAGCGCAGCAGAGGAAGATCTTGTGACAGGGTCACGAGAAATTAATCAGACATTAAGTTGAGGAGTGATCTTCTTGCTCCTCACTTGGAGCAGGCTACAGCTGCTACCAGAGAACACACACACTCTGTGTTTGGCTTCTTTTTTCTTTTGCAAGCTGATCTGTTTTAGTAGGGTTTAATGCTTTGTAGGCCCCTGTGTGTAGCCTTCTTTGATACATTCAGGCAATTTAGTTGGACAAAATGGTTTCAAAGGGTCACTTGCAACTTCATATTTGAGACTGAAGTATTCATTTTTGCATGAACAGAGGTGGTGCTTAATGCCTACTGGCCTCGATGCAGCCTTCCCCCTTTCAGAGTCTTAGAGGAGCTAAGGCCTTTCTTCACTGTGGTACACCAAAAGATGGAAGAGCACAGAGCGAGCCTGAGGGGCTCTCGGTTATATTTACTGTCTGCGACGAAAGAGAGGAGAGAGAAGGGGCGGATGGGAGGGGTTTGAAAAAAGAAGAGGAAAAAAGACACCGAAACGAAAAAGCGAGTGAGACAGAGGAGGGTTTCTATGGTAACAGAAATATGGCTGCTCTTCAAAAACCTTGAATGTAGGTGGTGGTGAGAAGAGTGTTTTTTTTTCCAACCTCATCTTTCCCTTTTGGTTTTGCACAGATTATGGATGTGCTGGATCTCTTTTGTTATGGTAAAGGACGGACGTGCCATCAGCTTTTATTTTTTTATTTCTCTTCAACCTCAGGGTGATGTTTTAGGCAATATGTAGAGCCATTGAACCAGTGTGAATCTTGACTACTTTAAAATCACTTTAGCTAAATGGAAAGCTTATTTTCACATGAAAATCTCTGAAATCAATTTCTCATAGCACTTAAAGAATTAATCTAGGAAGTAGGCATTAGTTCAGATGTTTCAGTAGTTTCATGTCCGGATGATGCATTAACTGTCCTAATATAATTGGTACATATTTACCCCCAAATCAACTCTCTCACCTGCTTCATAGAAGCTTTTTTTATTTTATTTTGTCCACCGTCCAACCTGCAGGAAGACCTCCCAACTTTGTACAAAGAAGCTTTGACATCTTTGTCGTCATAACGAGTTTAGTCAATCAGCTTGGAATTTCATTAGAGGGATTTTATAACATTTGATACTGATTTAATTTTGAGTCATTAGAGGTTTTTGGGGATTTTTTGGGATACAGATTGGGTTTTCCCTTTTTCACAGCTACCAAGAGTGAATCCTACGCTAAACCAAGACTGTACACAGGGACAAGAACGTACAGCTCCAGTAATGTTATGTTCAACTTACTGACAGAATCAGTTTCCAAAGTCATGGGCAAGCCTATCCGATGAACAGGGATGTGTATTGGTAAAATTCTGGCGATGCGTATCACGGTATAGGGGAGACGATACGATATATCACAATATATTGCGATACATTCAGCCAGACAATGTTAGCGATTTTTTTAGACTGAATTTATTGTAGGAAAATTCAATAAACAGTCCAAACTGATACGTAACATGTTCAAAATGAGGTTTCTGAATCATAATAGAGGAATTTAAATTTCTATGTTGGAAACAAAACCCACTACTAGAGATGCACCGATATGAAATTTTGGGCCCATATCCGATATTAAGATCACTGTTAAGGCCGATAACCGATATTTGCTGATACCAATATACTGACATTAATGCTTCTACGATCAGCAGATTTTGTATAGAATGAAAATGATTAAAGCTGAATTTACCATATTATGTACACACACCACACACATTTATGATTCTGAGATGATTACATTCATTGTCACATGACTAAACAAATACACTTCTCACCCTCTGAAACAGATAAACAAATGGAGACAAGATAGAAAAAATATCGGTTGTTAATATCGGCCCAGTTTTATTTATCGGACCGATACCGATATTTTTAAAAATGACAAACATCGGCCAATACCGATATTGATGACGATTTATTGTCCATCCCTACCCACTAAACACTTCTGCCACCTAGCGGTCAGCCTTAGAATTGCACCAAAAGAAAAGAAAATACACAAATGTTTGTCTGTGAAGGTTCTCAGTCATCCAGGTCATTGTAGTCTAATGAGCTTTGAAAGAAAAGCGTCTGGACTTCTTTGAGTTGCTTGAAGACGTTTCACCTCTCATCCGAGAGGCTTCTTCAGTTCTAAGGTCAAAAGGTGGAGAGTCCCAGATTTAAACCCAGTGGGAGTTTCCCCCTGAAGAGGGAACAAAAGACCCCCTGATGACCTTCTACATAAACACCTAGACTCTCCACCTTTTGACCTTAGAACTGAAGAAGCCTCTCGGATGAGAGGTGAAACGTCTTCAAGCAACTCCAACAAGTCCAGACGCTTTTCTTTCAAAGCTCATTAGACTACACAAATGTTTGCGCGTAAATTCTTCCAAAAATTCGATACACAGCATGATATTGATATAATTTCGCAGGGAAAAAAATCACGATATATTTCCATATCGATATTTTCTTACATCCCTACCGGTGTACATAGCTAGGTCTTTCGTCTACTGCGAAGACCGAAGTGAGCGGCTGTGACAATGGACAGTTTAGCTTTTAAGGTTATTCCCACTCTTACCCTCACACACATCCTGCTGTCTAGCAACCAGTGTTGGCAGTGACCCACTATACGAGCTTGTTTACAATGATTTTAATGATTTTTGACAAAAAATATAAAAATGTTTGTACTGCCAGCTTTTAGTATATGTAAAATTGTAGTGTTAACCCTGGCCCGCCAGACTCATCCTCTGTCTGTTCCACACAGAGGACGAGTCTGGATACTCAGAGAAAACGTGGAAATGATGACTGTATCCCGTGACGCTTTAGCAAAGATGATATCTGGCGACAGCGCAAATTTCTTTTATTTATTTATTTTTTTAAGGAAAGGCTCTTCAAGCTTCTTGTAGTGGTTTTAAAGACACGTCAGAGTCATTTAGAACAGAGGAAAGAGCCGCAGCGAACTCCGCTTCAGACGCCGTCTTCGTTGTTTGTGAGAAACTGATGAGTGGTGCAATGTGTGGCGTATGCTGCTCAGCGCTGATTGGCACGGTTAGAATTCTCAGAGGGTGGGGTTTTTGAATAGGAGTGTTTTCAGGCCATGACTGGCCAGGCTAGGGTTCCCTACCCCAGTCTAGCTGTCATTGTCAATGATTTAAACCTGACCTGGGACAATGTGTAGCACCGGATATGTGATGTCCATCACTCTGAACTAATGTGACACCAAGTTGTTGCTCCTTATCTGTGAAACTGTATGTTTCATATTTTTAATGCAACATTCCCTTGTATAGCTTCTCATGGCTTGGCTCCATTAATAAATGTAGTTTTTATTTATTTACTTTTTTATGTTGTGAAACCTGTATTGGCCTATTTGTGGGGTGTTTTGGCCAAGGAACAAGTGACCCAGCTGTAGAGGAAAAACCAAAGCTACTTTTCTGTTTCCTAAATTTCTCCTGATTCTTTAAACCTAAACTGTCAAAAGCATTTTTCCCAAACGACAAGATTCCAAATGGCTGCCACACATCACTCATTGTTCAGCTTAAAAATAGTTTTAAAATGGTACAAACAAAACTTATGAAACCAAGACGTTGACAAAAACATTTCTGAATGTCCAAGGACTCGTGTGGTTGAAGTAAACGGTAAAGAGTTTGTTTATTTATTTGTTTCTGAACTCTAAAACTGTAAAGAGCTTTATTTTTTTGGTTTCACATCCTCATGCAGAGACTTATTTCCTTTAAGAGTTCTCATCTTTGCATTAAAAACCAGTCAAAAATGATTTGTTTTTGGATGAATGTGTATAACTCTGGTTCTGTTTCCGTGTTTACCTGTTCAGGGACAGGAGAAAGTGGCAAAAGCACCTTTATCAAACAGATGAGGATCATCCATGGAGCTGGCTACTCAGACGAAGACAAGAGGGGCTTCATTCGGCTTGTTTACCAAAACATCTTCACCTCCATGCAGGCCATGATTCGTGCCACGGAAACTCTCAAGATCCCGTACAAATATGAACAGAACCGAGTAAGAATTGACACCCGGAAATCAGAGAAATTATCATATTTTGTGCTGCTTCTGATGGTTAATCACAGCATCTTATATTCTGTTCCAAAGGAATCAGTTAAGTGAATTGATTAAGAATTAAGTAGAGGCAGATCATTTAAGAAGAACCAGTGAAATCCTGATAAGGGCACAAATATAAACAATTTAGTCAACATGTCTGACTGCAGTTCTCATCAGAACCAGCTGTGAATAATGACACTTCTGAGTAGCTTTTTCTTAGTATTGAGTTGCTAATAAAAGTGGCTCCATCTCCTCTTCTCCCACATCTCCCTCCAGGCCAATGCCATGGTTGTGAAGGAGGTGGATATTGAGAAGATCAATGGGTTTGACCAGCACTACGTTGCAGCTATTAAAAGCCTGTGGGCCGACCCGGGCATCCAGGAGGCCTATGACCGCCGCAGAGAGTACCAGCTCTCTGACTCCACTAAGTAGTACGTCTGTCCGTTTTACTGCTTGTCTGTCTGTGCAGGGACAAAGGTATGATGTTCATCCAGATTATAAGGATGGTGTATAGTCTGTCCGTGGTTATGTCATTTAGTGGCTGTGTTGGTTTGGAAACTAATAAGTTTTTATCTTTTTAACAGCAAAAACACTTTGATTTTTGTACAAATCAGACATTTGCAAAAAAAAACCTTTAATGGTAACAAATAAGGAAAATCTAGTGACAAGTGATGATGAAAATGTTTGTTTCCAAACCTTTACCCAGCCTTTCATGTGTGCGTGTGCGTGTGTGCGTGTGCGCGTGTGCGTGTGCGTGTGCGTGTGTGTGTGTGTGTGTGTGTGTGTGTGTGTGTGTGTGTGTGTGTGTGAAGGATGACTGTAGTGCATGCTGGGTAAAATTGAAGAGAAATTTCACCAAAATATTTTGCAACAACCAAATAACCGCTTTTATTTCTCAAGCCTCTGTGGTTTATTTGTTTCCATGTTTCACATTTGACTGAGTTTGTTATTCACAGATTTTAAGGTAAGTAAATCTGTTGTTATTGTCTTGTATTTGCATTAATCTGTGTGCTGTTACTGCTCTGGTGGGGTAGTACAGAAGTAAAGGCTACTAATTTTCATTAAAACTTAAAAGGCACTTGTGTAGTCCTAATTATCAAAATAATGCAACATTTTCCAGTCAATAAAACATCAGAGGAAATGTTCATGCAGACTTTGAGCCCACGTTGAGTAAATGTATTGCTGTCTGTGTGCCTGTGCAGGAAAACATTTATCTTATTTAAGAAGCTTTACTCCATCCTGATTTAAGTAGATTTAAATGTTAACTGCTCAACGAATAACATTCAAATCAAACTAAAAGCATATATAATACTTATAGTATCATGTAATAGAGCTCCGGCAGTTGACGTCACTTCTCCCGGCATGCAGCAGTTCAAATCAAAACGGCGCCATCTTGGCAGGCAGAAGGCCGCAGCTGGGCTATTTGTTTTTGTCAGAAAACTCAATCAAACGGGAAATACGGTAGATTCCTGTTGTGCCCCAGGATGCAGAACAGATGCAGACAAGATGAGGAAAGAGCCTTCTACAGGATTCCCCAAGATCCGGAACGCCGCAAACGTTGGATCATTGTAATAAAACACGCTAGCCTCCAGGCTAAAATGAAGCTGTGGGATCCCGAGAGTAACGTTTCCTCAACTGTGTATGGTATTTATTTTAAACACGTTTATTACGATTCTTAGTGGGCTTCCTAAACTTATTTTGGCGTGGCTTTTTCTGTCTTATTACTCATAGCAACAAGTAAACATCACGTAAAACGTTGCCTCGTGATTTCTGCGTGCTACCGTTTACGTGTTTTGTGATCACAGCAAGTAACCGGCTAAGCTGTATTTAATTTTAAGCAATGGTTGATCACTTGTCAGATCACACATAAAAAGCACCTTGGATTGCTATTATCTGTCTCAACGAGTCAGATGTCAGACAGATGCTGAGACGCTCCTGCCTGACATATTTATTTTATTCACGGAAAAAATCAAACTAGTGATTTCTCTCGGCGTTCAGTTTATACATTCAAACAGCACAGCACTCTATTTAAACTACTTACATGTAAATCTATGTTATTTGTCCATCCATCCATTTTCTTCCGCTTATCCGGAGTCGGGTTGCGGGGACAGCAGCTTAAGTCGAGAGGCCCAGACTTCCCTCTCCCCAGCCACTTGGGCCAGCTCCTCCGGGGAAATCCCAAGGCGTTCCCTGGCCAGGTCCGGTAAGAAGTCCTCCGACAGCTTCTGGCGTATTTAAAAGGTATCCCAGGGGCATGGTAAGGGTCTGAGATGTTTAATCTATTTAATTTCTGAATATATAAAACAATTTCTTCGGTTTTAAAGTGTGAAGTAAACTCCGACAAAGTAAAATCCAAGCCGACCCCGTTCATTTTGTTTACCTATGTTGCCTGCCAACATGGCGTCTACTCTCAGAGAGTCACGTGACGTCCTGAGCTCTGTATTTGCTATTTTAAACTAAATCTGAAACGTCTGTTTGATATTTACGTTTTAATTTTTAAATGAATACTAGAAATTCAATTTTTTCGATGTTGTAGATGACTCTTTATACAAGAGTTTTAAAGAGGCAACATTTTATTTTTTGCTCTTAAAAAATGTTAGTTTACTATTAAAAAATAGAAATAGTTATAATCGACTAATTGATCATTTAGACAAAGTAATTTCTTCTCTGTAACAGTTGGTGACCAGAAATCATTTTACATCAGTCAGAATATTTCAACAAACATGTGACCTCAAGCTAAAGCACCCCCTGGCTGCACTCTAGCTGCACTGCAGTTAAATTGTGCTTCAAGTCTGATTGTGTGTGCGTGCTTGTAATGGTGTGTCTGAGGGAGAAAGAGAGAGAGAGTATTGAATTTGTCTTCATTTCAGCCTTATCCACACTGTTCATGTTTATCTCCAGTTACCTTAGCGATATAAACCGTGTGACCGCGGAGGGATACGTTCCCACCCAGCAGGATGTGCTGAGGGTCCGCGTTCCCACCACGGGTATAATAGAGTACCCGTTTGACCTGGAGAACGTCATCTTCAGGTACCGCTCTAAGCACCAGGAGTGCAGCAACACCACGAGTAGGCGACATAAACCACTGATGGTTCAGAAACCAGCAGCCTCAAGGGGGAGGGGCCTCTTGAGGAGCCTGCTTTTTGCCATGGCAACACAAATCTTCTAACTGCTTCAAATTCTGATTCTGACTCGACTGAGTTGTCATAAATTGATAAATGAAAATGAGGCCTTTAATCAGATCAAATGTCAGTGGTTTGTGTTTATGACCGTGTTGGCCTGGGGCCAGATGTGCTGCACTGGAGCGGGGGGGTGGGGGGCAGCAAGTGAACACCAGAGAAAGGAGGATTAGGCAAAGACCTCAAGGATACTTCAGGATTGCTTTATTCCTTCGATCATTTAAAGTTTTCCATTTCAAATTACAAGTAGAGGACGTTGTGCTTCCTTTGATCCTTGATGTCAGATGTGTCTGGTCCTCCTTTATCTGAGAGGAGCGCTGATGTTTTTGCTGCTGATGCCACTTCACTGTCTGCACCACATCCATCCATTAATGGACCTTCGTTTTATGAGTTTCTGCTTAAAACAAAGCAGCAGTTCATGGCAAATCCCAATAAGCCTCCACAGCGTTATGTTATAGGTTCATGCAGACAGCGTTGGTGGCTCACACTAACACCTTTTTTGTTTCTGTAGCTCTTCTGTGGAACTTCTTCTGAAGGACACATCATTGTTTTCCTGGAATTGCATCGGGTTGCTATAATTTCCGGTCATGCTTTATATAACTGTTTTCCTGTCTTTTTCCCCTCTCTCTCTTTTTTTATTTCCACTTATTTCCTGACCACCTCCCTGTAGTTATCTTTCGGATCTGGATCGTATTGTCGATCCCAACTATCTTCCCACTCAGCAGGACGTACTCAGAGTGCGCATACCCACTACAGGAATCATAGAGTACCCCTTCGACTTGCAGAGCATCATTTTCAGGTAGAGCGATGCCTGTTCTGACTTCATCCGTTTATTTTTTGTTTTCAACTTAATCAACTCATGATTTTCGTCCCCACCTGAGCTGAACCATCTCCTAATCCCTCATTATGAAAACTACTTATTTGTCTACATTTCTGAATGTTTTCTTGCAATAAAAAGAATAAATTTCCATTAAACACTTACCTGCTGCCTTTTAGGACAATTAGTGCCCAAACACAAATGAACACCAAGTCCTACATTCTGGTGCCCGGTTGGTCTCTAAGTGGGTCACCTCCTCTTTTCTCCTCCTATCCTCCCCGGCTGTCACAAGAAACGAGGTCACCCTCTCCGTTGTGGAGGAATGTTATTTTGGGCAGCAGGTCCTGCAGGGCCTATTGGCCCAGGGTCTCTGTGGACCACGGTGGACTGGGCCACCACCAGGGGGCAGCATTGCATTGTGCAATTGAGCTGATTGTGTTCAGTCCGACATCCCTTTAATGTGGAAGAAAAGAAGAATTCACAGAAAACGAGCCTTTTAATTGCTCCCATTTTATTAATTATCTGCTTTGCTGAAAAAGTTTTGTGACTGCAGAGTTCTCACGGAATCCTTTTGTCACAAACGGAGACATAATGAGACTGGGACCTGAAGTCCCAGATATGGAGGAGGAGGAGGGACGTTGTCAAGGAGAGGCTTTTTGAAACCCTCTTATGCAAGTTTGCATGTCAGCTTGTTCATCAGTGATTGACACCCTGCTTAATGCACGCTCTCTAATCAGACTACTAAGATTTGACTTCTTCTGTCTTTCACCAGTTTGTCCCTCTGTCCCCTGTCTGTCCCCCCGCTGTTCCGTGTCCCACTTTTCAGCTCCTCTTTTGTTTCATGTCGCTCCCGTTTCCCTCATTCATCTCAAAGTGTTTTTGCCCTCTTAAGGGAAAACAGACAAATCTGTGCACGTTGACCTTCACTTTCAGCACACACACACACAGAGAATGATTAGGGTGAGATGAGCTTATACTTTTTTTACATTTCTATATTTTCTTGTTAATTAAGCTCAACTCGGGTGATTTTGACTGTTAAATGTAGATTCTGGTTTGGTTTTGGATTATTTTTCCTCCATCCGACTGAAAGTTTGAAGTGAATTTAATGAAATAGCAAAAGGGAATTTGAATCCATCAAGACTTATTTTAGCTAAGCAGGACTGAACCATTTAGAACATTAAATAAAAATGTTGTAGGGAATTTCCATATTGAAGTTGGACCATTTAAGACATGGTATGATTATTTCTAGGATAAAAATCCACAAAGTGTAGCTAAATTGTTATAAAGTTATTAATCTAGATGGATTCAAAACTTTTGTCCAAACAGCAAAAATAACCGATGCTCATCACTATTTTGTAACTTTTTGAATGTTATTCAGCACAATTAAAGCTACCCAGGCCTTTATTCCAACGTGTCTAAATCTCACCACCAGGATGGTGGATGTAGGGGGTCAGAGGTCAGAGAGGAGAAAGTGGATTCACTGCTTTGAGAACGTCACCTCCATTATGTTTCTGGTGGCCCTGAGTGAGTATGACCAGGTCCTGGTGGAGTCCGACAACGAGGTGAGTGAAGAATAAACCTGAATTAGCTGAGTAAGAAGATCTTGCTCAGAGTTTATTGCTCCAGCAGCAGCAAACAGATGCTTTCTGCATATTGAAGTGTCCTTCCTTTCTTCTCACATCAGAACCGTATGGAGGAGAGCAAGGCTCTCTTCAGAACCATCATCACCTACCCCTGGTTTCAAAACTCCTCTGTCATCCTCTTCCTCAACAAGAAGGACCTGTTGGAGGAGAAGATCTCCTACTCACACCTGGTGGATTACTTTCCTGAGTTTGATGGTGGGTTAGTTAATGTTGTGTGTTCTGAATAATCAGTTAACTCACCTCAAGCTCTGTTTGTATAGAGCCTTTCACAGAAATGCACTTCACAAGGCGCTTCACGGTAGGGAAGGATAGAACATCAAACATAAATCCGCAGTAAAACAGGTAAAAACAGACACATCTTTATTCCTTTCATAAAAAGACAACAAACTGCAGGAATGGAGGTGAACCATGAGGTGAAGTGGTAAGAAACATCACCAAACTGGTGGATCACTTGTCCCAGTGGTAGGTTGTACAATGAAAACAATATGGTACCCAAAACATACCCTTGTGGGACTCCACAAGTCATGGGCCCAGAAAAACTGGTTTACCAGACCACTGAAACTCCTGTCATTTAGATAGGATGCAACTACGTCTATCACAGTACCAGCCCCCCCAATGCTCTTTAGGACTGTTGATCAGCACATGATGGTCAATGGTATCAACAGCTGAGGAGAGATCCAACAGGACCAGAGCTGTAAACACTCGCCAGGGCTGTCTCTGTTGAGTGGTGCTTTCACAACCCTGACTGGAATTTATCCAGCATGTTCACACTTCCTGGGTGAGATGTCAGTTGTTCAACCACAATTTTATCCAAAGTTTTAGACATGATGGGCAGTTTTGAGATAGAGCTGTAGTTACTCGGGTCAGGTGGATTTGAACCAAATGTTTTTAAGGGAAAAAAAGAAAACACACCTGTTAACTCATTCACGGCCAGCCGAAATGTCCTTTGCTGCCAGCGTTTTTACCGTTTTTACCGGGTTTTTTTAAGAGTCACAGAACGTTGCACACTATGATGTCAACGCCAAAAATACCAAAACAAAGAGGAGACTCACCACTTACATCAGGAAGAATCTGCACATTTCGAGCTTTATTTGTTCTTTCATAATCCGTTGTGGAATTGTGATCGGCAGAAGCTTTTCTGCTTCGCGCCTCACTTTTTTTACAGCAGCGGCCCAAAACAATCCCAACACATGGATTTTCTGCTTCCTGATCACGTGACATGTGACGTACGCAGATGAAGATCGGCTTTAGAGCTGGGATGTTTGTTCTGACGGTGCGGGGGCTCGTTCCGACGCCCACACAGGGAAAAAAAATGCAATGAATGAGTTAAAGGGGTGATGTGTAAGAAATAATTAGAAAATGTGGTGTTAATTTAAACCTAAAACATGGAAAATCTCATAAAAATATAAGGAAATTTTAACTCCAGGATTCAGGTTTTAGGTTTACCAGTTAAACGTTTTACTGAGATGATCAGAAGATGAAGAGTTTATGAAACTTGGAGAATGTCCATGTAAATGTACCATTTGGTCTCATGGGATTTTTAGGATTTAGGAAATAAGTTTCTTAAAATTCTGAGAAAACAAGTTTCTTTTGTAAACTTATTTTTCTTTGAGTTTATCAACTAAAAATGTCAGAAATGATCACTTTAATGTTTGCTAATTCATGTCTTTAGTGTGGAAAATGTACTTTTGGCAAATTAAAGTCTTTACCACATAAATGAATATAAAAATGTTTTCATATGAGACATTAGAATTTTCTCCTCCAGTTACTTCCTTTTTATTTTCTGAGTCTTCTTCTGCTGCTTTTCACAACACGTGGCCTCAACCATCTGAACTGGGGTTTTGCCATCTTAGGCAGAAAGGATCCGTCTGACTGAGCAGATAAATGACTTGTACCTTTATTATAGTAATATATACTTTATCACATCCAAGCGTTCTTTCATGATGAGTTAATGATATATGGTGCAGCAATATTTATGTCTGTTTATTCTGCTTTTATCTGAAGTTATTTACAGTTGTAACTGAACATGTATGTTTTTATAAGCGCCAGGAAGAGAAAAAGGGTGTTTTTGTCTTAATTAAAATAAAAAGTCAAACTCAGAGCAGTTCTGAGAATCCTTCGAACCGATAGGAGGAATCTCAACCTGACCCAGACTGTGTCTGAAGAGTTGTTCCCATGTTAACAGCTTTGTGTCCATGTTTCAGGTCCACAGAGAGATGCCCAGGCAGCGCGGGAGTTCATCCTCAAAATGTTTGTGGACTTGAACCCGGACAGCGACAAGATCATCTACTCTCACTTCACTTGTGCCACGGACACTGAGAACATCCGCTTCGTGTTTGCAGCTGTCAAAGACACCATCCTACAGCTCAATCTAAAAGAGTACAACCTGGTGTGAGGGCTCACTTACGATGCACACCTCCTCTCCCATTGCACAAAGGCACGCCTCTCTGGGAGCGCGCCGCCAACTCCACACGCATCACGCAGCACACTACTCCGGCTGTCCCGCGCCACCACACACAAACAGAACTCCTGCTTTTTTTTTTCTAGTTCTTTTTCAGTACGTTGTATTTACAGACACCCCATGCCCCCTCGTTTACCAAAGCCTCGTCCGTCTCCTCCTCTTCCTCCTTCTCTCGGCAGCTTGTTGTGTCAGAGTCTTCAGCCCCTCACAAAGCTGCGGCGTGTGTCAGATTTGGTCTCGGCTGCTGGCTCTTTCACATTTCTCCTGGCAAACCAACCTTTTCACACAGGCTTAACAGTGACTGGAAGGGTTTCTGTGGCATTTGTATCTATTTGGGGCAGCTTTTACCGGCGACAAGTTCAGTTTTGGTGAATATTCAAACCCCATGACGCCCCAGAGAGTCGACCCCATTGTCTCTTTTTCTGCCTGAGTGGAAGGAACTGAGCTTCATCGCCCAAGGACCAGCGGTGCTGATCAGAGATGCTTCAGAGTGACCAGGCCAGGATGTAATGTCAGACACTAAAGGGACGGAGCTGAGGATTCAGTCTCCACCTCACATCTGTGAATGTACCCTCGATGTGAGCCCCCCAATAAGTTAACCCACAAATGTATATCATGAAGTAAACGCTAAAGGTGTACGAGGGCGTGAGAAAATTCATGAAAATCAATTTTGAGATTTATTTTAGTCCATATTTGGTGATAAAAAGTTGTGGAGATAACAAATTGAGAGAAAATTGATACAAATCTGCAAAACCAGCAGCTCTAAATTCCCTTCAAAGTTTGCGTTAATCACACGCTTCCCTTCCTCCAGATGTTTTCTGTATAGATTTACAGGGACAATCTTCCACTCGGCTACATCTGGTTCCTCTGCACTCCGTGCAAAATCAGGCGTGGCTGTCGATGGTCAGCGCCCCAGTCTGTGGATGCGGAGGGGAGCGTGATGTCGTCGGAGGGGCTTAATCGAGACTAATCTGTAAATTGAAAAACAAATCATCATCTCTGACGACGTCACGCTAGCATCACCCTGCCGTCCAATCAGACGCACTTCCTGATGCGACACTGTCATCCTATTTCGTCAGGGTGTGCTTCTGCTGCTTTTATTTTTTATTTTTGTCACGTTTAATTACTAAAGATATTGAGTAATATGAGGAAAAGGGGGGTTGAGCCTTTCACAGAAAACACTTAAGAAGTCTTCAAATGTTTAAGTATATTTGTACTACATCTAAACACAAAACACTTCTGTACAAAAGCGTTCTATGGTACACCATCTTTGGTTTGAAATACTAAAAAGAGAACGAGTCGGCTTTCATTAGATTTACAGTTTTCTCCATTGAATCTATGGTAGTATTGATACTGTGATTGTGGGATTGGTTCAGAGCACCACATCACTCTGTTCCCAGAGTCCAAACAGCCAGGACTGGTTCACAAATCTCCACAGTAAGGTGATTTTAAGAGTAATTAAAGAATTTTTTTTTCTATTTATATAATTTATGAACCAGGATGAAGGTGTTGATAATTTGACTGCTTGTGCTTCTGTCATGTTGAAGGGCCTCTTCTTTCATGGCAGGGCCTACTTGAGTCTGAACTGCTGTAAAAAAACAACAAGAAAAAATAACAAAACAAAAAAAAAACTTAAAAAAATAATCTGAATGTCTGGTATAATAAGAACTTTATCTCTGCTTTCTATTTCTTAGACATTTCCAGTTGTACTTTTCCATCACATTTCCATTCATCACATTTGTTTTTGTTAGGAGTCCTCGCTCTTTATTTTTATTTTTTTAGATATTTCTAAATCACATTTCTCCCGTTGGGTTATAGATGCAGCGCTGTAATACATGCCTAGAAAACTGTACAGTACAAACATAGGTGGACTTTCTTTTTTTTTTTTTTTTTTTACCGGTGATTGAAGACCCTCTCTGGTCGATGCTTGCTGTTTGTAACTTAACACTAAAATTTAAAAAAGTTACTTTTATTTTCCAACATTTTATTGCTTGCTTTGAATAGTGCCAGTGAAGTGCAGATATATATATTTTTTGGTCTCATATGTGACCTTTTCTACCGATGATTTACCCTTCATCCTCATTAAGGGCTATCATAGTGCATCCGACAGCAGGGAGTGGAGTTCAGGACCATGGTGAACCAAGTCATCCACTAGAATACTCGTGTAAAGAGATTAACAGTATAGGCAGGGTGTTAGGACAAATGTAAGGTGTGTGTGTGTGTGTGTGTGTGTGTGTGTGTGTGTGTGTGTGTGTGTGTGTCTGCGCAGACAGTTTACAAACACTAAAAAAAGTTTTCTTCAAGTATTTCTTTAGATCCTTTGGATTGTCGCTAATTTCCACTACATTTAGTTCTTTTTTTTTTTACATTAATTTCAGTGTTACCTGTAATAATTTGTGGTCTAGATGCACCAAACAGTAAAACTACCAGTATTGCACATTTCCCCAAGTATTTGAGCTCTGGCCAAGATGTCGTTCTAAGCCGTCCTGGTGGGTTTTTTGTATATTTTAACCTAAATGAATTTCAGCTCTTGTGACATTTTGGGATTCTATATAGAGTTAAAATTGCCATCGTTGAAATAAACTGCATTACATATTCTGGTTTTGTCTGATGTTTCTTGAAATATTATGTGGATTAAAAATAAAAAATAGCCGATAAATGACACTGATTTTTTTTTCTAACAGTTTTCTCTATCTGACAAATATAAGATACGCTTAAATTAAATAATCTTTTAACGATGCATAAGACAATTCAGAGACCTTAAAAATGATTATCTTTTCTTTCCTGCTTTGTGATTGGCTTAGTGTGCTCTAGAATGGCCAACCGTCTTGAGAGCAAGATTCCACTAAATGCCGAAATAAAGCCTCATCGGTCGAATTTCTAGCCTCTGCTATAAGAACAAATACCTTAAAATGGGAAGCCAATCACAATTGAAATGTATGTAGGTTAAGATGTATAAAAAGCACCAGTATGCTGTTACTGCCACCTTATCTGAGAATTACACTAACTGCTTGCTGATGGAAGAGGATCAGAATGCCAGTGCTCAGACCCAAGTGTTTATCAGTAATAATTTTTCTGTATTGAGTGCAGCTCACTTAACGGTGTCAAAGCATGTGTTCATTAACAAATTTGACTACAAATCTGGCACGTGTTGAAAGGCTATGTGTGCGAGTGTGTGTGTGTGCGTGCGTGTGTTAGCATCTCAGTGTTGTGCAGTTTGGTTCTTATCGGAGCAGAAATTCAGAAATGCTGTCCCCTTGCCTGTTATTAGCTTTATTGGTTTTCCAATTATCACCATTGCCTCGAATAAACACGTTCTTCACGTCCCCTTCCTGCGAGCTTGTTAAACTAATTGGGATCCAGCCGATCTCAGACATCAGTGTGGAGTTGGTCGACACTCATATTAAAGCGTAATATTTCCGTGCAGAACACTACCAGAACACTGTTAAGATCACTTGATTAATTTTTCCTCACGATAATGAAACCTGACGGTCAATCATTAGTGGTGTGCATAAAAATGCTTGTTTTTGGTCTTTATTTTGTATGTAAACCAAAATGTAAACCATGTATTATACTGAGTGTGCCAACCCCATTCCCTAGAGCCAGGCTCTCTCTAAGTGCCAATGCTGTGGTCATTATCAAAGGGACCACCATTTGAGAAGCCCCCCAACACACACTCCTTTTTAAATCACGTCACACACTAAAAGCAAAGATGATCTAGCACAGAAAGATTTAATTCTGTATTTAAAATTGAATTTTAATGCTAATCTGCTCTTTTTTTTAATATAAACTGTAATAACTGCATGTGATGTTTTATTTTGTCAGAAGTGAGGGCTTGGATGTTTTCATTGAAGTAGAGCCCTTAACGAAGGGCCTTCAGTTTGTTGTTATCGATGTATATTGATTTACATAACTTGCCATATTTTTTATGTGTTTCATGTATTTGTTTCAACCACTGTTGCCTGATCCTCATTCAAACATGAACATGACTTATGATCGTTGCCGCCTTCTAAGAGAGAAACATAATGACAAGGTATCTGTTTTAAATTGAAATAAAATTGTTCCTATACTTGCAGATTGTGTGTGTGAGTTTCATGATCCTCTGTGGACAAGCAAAACTGACACAAGGTTTTACTTGGTGCATTGAACAGACTTGGGTCTTTGTGTTTAGTTTGGACATTTTTTATGCATTCAGTCCTCCAGAGACCAGGGGTTGGCGTGGCCATGTCATGCCCTTCGGGAATGCATCGACATGTCTAAAGAAAATTAGTAACGGTATCATTTCAAATATTCATTAAAAATCACCTTTCATTGCTGTATCCACAAAATCCAAGAGAAGGTCAGGCGGCAACCAATTTGGTCGAAAATGAAAACTAACATATGCCATCTCCAGCACTGCTTTAAAGTCAGAACTCTGCAGATAAGTCCTGCCTGCTCATTCACTCAGTTAAACCTCCAAAATGAATTACAACTAAATGTGTTCACAAACCAAATACTTGAAAATTGATAAGCAAGAATTCAACACTTTTTTTTAAACTCACCTATGGTCACGAGCTTTGGGTAGCGATCGAAAAAATGATACTGTGGATCAGGGGTGCCCAATCCTGGTCCTGGAGGGCCAGTATCCAGCAGGTTTTGTGTTTTTTCTGCTCCAACACACTTGATTAACTGGTTGAATCATCTGTGCAGCATCTCATCAGGCTCTGCAGAAGCCTGTTAATCACCTGCTGATTGAAAGCAGGTGTGCTGAACCAGAGTTAAAACTAAAACGTGCTGGGTACCGGCCCTCGAGGACCAGGATTGGGCACCCCTGCGTGCACAGCAGCCAAAATGAGTTTTCTTTGCAGGGTTTCTGGGTTCTCCCTTAGAAATAGGGTGAGAAGGTCATCCGGGAGGGGCTTGGAGTAGATCCGCTGCTCCTCCACATCGACTGGAGTTGCCCGCACATCTGGTTGGGGCTCCTCCCTTGGCAGATTTTCTAAGCATGCCCAAATAGTAGGAGACCTAAAGGAAAAACCAGGACATTGTAGCATTAAATATGTTCTGCTCAAGGTGTAACATGTTGCGTTTGTAGGTCCAACAACAGTTGGGGTTGCTGCAGTGGACAAGGTGCTGCGGGAGCTGTCTTCCGATTCCGAACTTAGCTTTCAGCCTGTGACTTACACGTGGACCTCTGCCAACTGTTATTTTCCTAACTATAGGTTTGAATGTCACTCGGATTGGCGTACGCCCTCTTCCGTCACTTCTCTGCACATTTGACCCCCATGGGGGCCTCGCTCCATGGTTTGGGACGATTGGACGATGCTCTGAAGCCCATGAACTGAACTGGACCTCCGGTGTCTCCACCACCACCTTGAGTAATGAACTCAGGATCAGACCTCATCCTCTCTTTCTCCATCTCTATCTTATGTTTCATAGATGGTTAAATTATGGAAGTTAAATACTGACGTTAATTTGACTTGTTGTATATCTTTTATACTTTTTCATATTATTGGTATTGTGATTTGCTACTTTAAGTGCAGTGCATCATCACTCAATAACTTAATTATTCGGTGATATAAATGTTTTGACTACTGCATTTTTGGATTGACAGTAGGGTTGTTTAGTGTTTCTTACATTTCATTACACCATCAGTTTAGTTGGAGTTACTGTGTCCTGACTGTGTGTCTAACAATGTCCTAGGCTCCGCCAGATGTCCACACTGTTCGAGAGGACATCACTGCTAATCATCGTCCTGCCAACTACTTCTGTAGACTGTCCTGCTGATCTTTAAAAGTCCCATTATTCTCCGGGGCTCCTGTACTCCTGCTTATCACCATAGTTCCAGCATGCTTCTCCACATTAAGAAAGTCATGTACATGCCAAAGGTCATCAGGCATTACATGACTTTCTTTAGGCTACAACGTGCTGGATGGATTTTATTTCACGGCTGGCCCGGGAATGCCTTAGAATTAGGATTCCCCTGGAGGAGCGGGCCCAAGTGGCTGGGGAGAAGGAAGTCTGGGCCTCTTTGCTTAGGCTGCTGCTGCCCCTGTGACCTGACCCCAGATAAGTGGAGGAAGATGGATGGCAGCCAGAATAGGCTAGGAAGCCAAAAGTACAGGGAACTTGTGTTCTCTAAGCTCAAACCTCCAATTTGTGAGGCTCCTCACCTTTCCTATGAGCGGTATCACCTAGCCCTAACAAACATCTGTCATTTAATACATTTGATACTACGATGACAAACATGTACATAAACGCACAATTTCTATACTGAAGCAATGCTTCATTTAATAGAGACCACAATGAATTATTTAACATACAAAATAGGTATTTCTACACATTAAGTAGAGAAGGAAATGATTTATTATAAATCACAGCTCAGTAGAAGTTAGGTTGACTAGTATTATAACCCACTACTCACCGTCATATTTTGCAGTGAACTGCAAAAAATATTTTATAAAAATAATGTCTTCTCACCCTAAAAATTATATTATACACACACACACACACATATATATATATATATATGTGTGTGTGTGTGTGTGTGTATATATATATATATATGTGTGTGTGTGTGTGTGTGTGTGTGTTTCATTTTATTTCTTTTTCTAAATGAATGTTCTACAAATATTTTCACATTGGCAAATAACATTTGGCAAATGTAAAAGGCTGGAGGTGTGGACACATTCCATCTTTGACGTTTGACTGAAATTTGACCTTGAGAGGAAGAAAGAGCTCCCAATGATTACACATTTCCAGTTTTGTCTAAAACATCTATTACTAATAGGACCAAACGGTGGATTTTTACTTTACTTACTTATTTTACCTGGAGATTGTGATACATGCTTTGTATTTTCAAGGCTTGACTACTGTAATTACCTATACGCCGGACTGAATCAGTCAGCTGTTTCTAGGCTCCAAATGGTCTAAAACGTTGCAGTGAGATTCATCTTTGTGCTGTGGAAGTGGGATCCTATATCACCGGCTCTGCGTGCACTGAAATGGCTACCTGTGAAGCAACACATTGAATTTAAAAATCTGGTTTAAGTTTTCCAAATGCTTGCAGGTGCAGCTTCTCTTTACCTTTCAGTGCTTCTCAGGAGACATGTTCCATCTCGATCACTGCACTCTGCTGATGGTTACCTGCCGGTGGTCTCAAAAGCCTAGCACAAATGTGGTGGTGATCGTGCATTTGCTGTGATGGCCTCAAAACTATGGAATGACTTACCTGGTGATGTAAATCAATCTACCTCCATTTGGAGTTTTAAAGTCCGACTGCATCAGTACTTGAGGTCACAGTCTTTCAAGTGACTTGCTGGAATTGTACTGACATGATCTGATGTTTTTATATATTTTAATCTAATTTTTAATGTTTGCCTGTTTTTTCTTTTGTTCCATGCTGACACATGGTTTTTAACCCTTATATTTCCTTTTAGTTTTCGAATATTTCTGGTGTTTGGGCACAAAAAGTGCACTAAGGACACATACGAGTTAATGTAATTGGCTTTTAATGTAGAGGTTTGTAAGTGTTGCTTTGCTTTACTTCATTTGGCAAACAGTGTGCACAGAAAACTTTTGCTTGGTTTTATTGAATATATATTTCATTTTATTCAATATTTTACTTGTTTAATTTTCTTATTCTGGCATTTGTGTTGTGTTGTGTTCAGCACATTGGGCTGCTTTGGTTGATGGCAGGAAGGTGCTTTATAAATAAATGAATTTAATGTTAAAGCCTGTGAAAGTGTATTGATTAGGCTAATGGTATCACATTGATATAGCAGTTTGTTTTATTACATCAAGACTTTTTTTCTGCTGGAGCTTTTCTGTGTGCTGTTTTAGTATCCCCTCATGCATGTGAGTGCTGACTACAAAACACACAAAGTAGATTATTGAAAGACTGGAGTGAGCCTTTTTCTTCCTTTCTTTTTTAGATGTTTTATTTTTATTATTTGTATGTCTATTAGAACAGTCAGCAGGTGGCTTTTGGGATCCCGGCCCTCGCCGCCCTGCTTCCGGCCCTGGCTGAACGCACTTTTAGTCTATGGTCACACGGGGCGCCCGCTCCTCCGCTGCTCGGTTTGTGTTCCGGGTGATGCTGCTCTTTCCTTCAAAGCAGAGGAAAGTCGGGGGCTTGTATGTCAACATCAAGGATTTCCCCCCTAGGAGGTGCAGCGTTTAACGTTCTCCCGAGATACCCGATGTTGTCTGGAACAGCTCATTCTTCTCGCTAGCTTGTCGGCCATTGGAGACGGCGGTGCGACAGAATATAAAGACCAGACGGTCTTCGACTCCCGCCGCTTAGCTAATCTTAATTTAAAAGGATGACTGAGTACAAAGTGCAAGTAGCGTCTCCGGTTATTTATTAATAATATTTGGAGACCTGCTAGCTTAGCCAGCTAGCCCGGTAGTTCGATTCGACCGAGGAAACACGGTAAACGCGCTGGTGACATGATGTTTCCTTCATCAAGGCACTCGGTAAGTTTGCTGCTTGGAAATGTCCGGTAGAAACGGAGCAAAGCGAGCTAATGCTAGTTAGCAGCCGACAGCTGATCCAAAACAGCAGCGCTGCTGGTAGCTGTCAGCTTTCCTCAACAATGCCCGACCTCGCAGCACTTCGCCGCGTCTCTTCCGACGAATTATAAAGATTTAAACCTTTAAAAGAACCTGAATATACTTCAGCTGCGTTTGTTTATGTTCAGCTACACATGATGTCTAGCTAGCTTAACTCAAACCTGCCAACTTCGATGATAATGTTCTTGTAACTTTGTGCTCACATCTCACACACACACTCATGCTGCCTTTAAAGAATTTTTTCATATTATTGCTTATTTTCAGCTCATGAATTAACATTATCAAACAGGACTACAGTTATTTGTAATTGCCATTGATAATGATGCTAGTATTGTTTATTTTTAAGTTGCTAAACCTTAATAATAAAACATTCATTTATTTTTTAAATGACACATCTGCTTATTTGCTCAATTTTGAAAGTTTATTAAATAATATGTTAAACTTTGTAGTGTAATAACCTTTATTTAGAGATGCACCGATTCTGGTCGAGTCCAACTTGCCGATTTATGTCTAAGATATTACAACCCTAATATAATTCAACTATAATTAACAGAAAATAATTTTATTTCTGATTGATTTAAATTATGTTTATGGAAATTTTAAACTTTCTGGTAATTTGTGGTTTTTGTTTAAGATTTTATAGGTGGATTCTAGGGATGTGTATTGGTGAAATTATGGCGATACGATATGTATCACGATACAGGGGAGACGATACGATATATTGCGATACATTCAGTCAGACAATATTAAAGATTTTTAGAGTGAATTTATTGTAAGAAAATTCAATAAACAGTCCAAACTGATAGTTAACATGTTTAAAATGAGGTATCTAAACCATAGTAGAGGGATTTCAGGTGGAAACAAAGCCATTGCACACTGCTGCCAACTCGCGGTAGGCGTTTGAATAGCACCAAGTGAAAGGAAAATACACAAATGTTTGGATGTAAATTCTTCCAAAAATTAGATACACGGCTTTTGAAAATCAATATAATATTGCAGGAAAAAATATCACGATATATTGCCATATCAGTATTTTCTTACATCCCTAGTGGATTCCCTTTTTTCAATGCTAATAAATGTGCTTTCTTTTTTTATGTGATATATATAAACTAAGCACCAGCCTGCTGATTTTATCTGAAGCCATTATAATTAACAGACTACAAATTTTGTGTGCTCAGTTGAAATGTGACTCTAGGATGGGGTGTGTTTGATTTATAACACTTGATAAAATGAGAGCAGACGATTACGCAGCACCTGTTTCATCTTCATCATCTTATATTAACTTGGAAAAAGAAACGTGCAGCAAACCTTGTTGTTGATCACTTTCAGAAAGAGTGAAATATTGAAATATCTGTTGATCTGATCATTTCTGAAGAAAATTTTAAATATTCCTATCATAACAGGATTGTCCGCAGATCAACCAGAGTCGTTACTACTTTAGTTTCAGTTGGGAAGCAGCGTTTTAACCTCTAACCGAATGACTCCTTCTCCTCTAATCAAATCCCATAATCCATCTGGAAACCTCTTGCCTTTGCACCACTTATTTAGAGAGTAATGGGGTTTAGGGATCTAGATAAACCCTGGATTAAAGCTTTATGCTGATTGTTTAAGGGTGGTTTATACACATAACCAGACTTTTAATGGAGCCTCTCATACAGTCTGACATCAGCAGCTCTTGATGGACACACCTGGAGCTCCTCGAATAAAGACTGGTGTTAAATCTCCACAGATGTTTCATGTCAGTTCCTGTAGGGTGTCCAGTGCTCTCGGCGTGTTAGGCGAGTGCCATAAATCTAATACACTTCATTCCTTATCTTGTTTTATGCTCCACACACAGTCCAGAGCACAGGCTGAACTTGGCTGTCCTTTCACGGGGTTAATCTCAGAGGTCAAGCTGCTGTTTCAAAACAAATTCAAACACACGTTGATTAAAATGCACTAAGCACCGGGACATATCTGTGGGCTAAAAAGTGTTTATTCTTGCCCTTTGCTGGCTTGTTTTAGAACAAAATAAATTAACAACAGGATCATCCGCTTCTTTAAGTTTGAGAGGATTTGTGAGCTTAATGCAGGAATTTTTTTTCTTCCACCAAGGCATCATCTCAGTCCAGTCAGCCCCTGAAGTTCACCACTTCTGATTCTTGTGACCGAATCAAGGATGAGTTCCAGTTCCTCCAAGCACAGTACCACAGGTATACAACACACACATGCACACATGTGCATGCAGATGTAGCTTAATTTAAACAATTCTTTTTATATTTTTTTAAGTAGAAATTCACAGACTGCAAATTGAAGGGCTGATTTTGATTTCAGTTTTTCGTAAACTACTTTTTCCAAATTCAAAATGATATATTACATGTATTGTTGGTGAATTACATGTAATTGAAAGCATATAAAGTATGTTCCTGATTTCTAGCTCAAATAAAAATGACAGATTGTTTATTATTTTAAAAAGAGCCTTCCCCCTCTGTCCTGGGCAACACCTTACCAAGCCTTTCCAACAGACACGTAATGTCTGCGAAACGTAGTACGCTCCAGTCAGCTACTGTTGTAGTAGATGGGTGCATTTTCAATGGTCCAACACCTTATAAAACATCAAAGTGCTCCTGCTGGTAGGACCAATCACGCTAACGTGATGATCTACTGGTGCTTCCCTCTTCTTTTCCTTGCTAGGTGAAGCATTGTATTTAATCCAACAATATAGTAAATCTCTCTAAGTCTTAGTAAAATGTTCAGAGTACGAACGTTATCGTTAATATTTATTATTCTAATGATCTAAGATTTATTAAACAAGTTTTCCGGTTTCTAACTGGTAGATCTTTGCTTTACAGTCAAGATGCAGAAAAATAAACTCACAAGAGTTCAAAGTTCTGTTTGACTGTAACATTCAGTATTTCAGTAACTTCTCTAATTTGTTTATCCAGTTTGAAGTTGGAGTGCGATAAACTGGCATCAGAAAAATCAGAGATGCAGCGTCATTATATCATGGTAAGTGTGGCGCCGACCCTCGACGTCAGTAGCTGTTTGTTCAGTAGTTAAAGAATAAACATGTTTGTAACTTTGAACTAGTTTTTGTTTCACTCAAAAACTACAGATTTAAACAGAAAATATCTCAAATCATGTTTAAACAGAAGAAAGAAAGGACTTCAGGAGTTTGTCTGATGGGTTTTGGTTACAAAAGGCTCATAAAATCTGTCCTTCTGTTACAGTACTATGAAATGTCCTATGGGCTGAACATTGAAATGCACAAACAGGTAAATCATATAAACTCACTAAATGGTGTAATTTGGATGATCTGCTGTTCTGATGATGTATATAATACTTTATTCGTCTTTGCAGGCTGAAATAGTGAAGAGACTGAATGGGATTTGTGCTCAGGTGTTGCCGTACCTCTCGCAGGAGGTGAGATCCGACTCTCCACATCTAACTAAACAAAATGAACCATCCATCCATCCATTTTCGGCCGCTTATGCCAGAGGTCCAGTCGTGGGGGCAGTAGCCTGATTTTTACTTCTCCATCTGCGCTGGTGCGGAGACACGCAACGCCGTTATGCGTCGGCGCAAGGGCTCCGACGGGTTCACCAAGGTTGATGGAGACATGCCCAAAATTTTTAACATTCGTCAAAAGTGACGGAGACTGCTAGCTTGTGATTGGTCAGGACGCCGCTTCCTGTAAATTTCATCACGAGCACTGCCATTGCCCCGTTAAAAAGCAAGAAGTTATTTAGAGATAGACATGGAACAGGTTGAAGAACGCACTGCGAAAAAAGTCCGAAAGTATGAATGTTTATTGACCCGTGACTGAAGGAAAACAAAATATGAAACAAACTGGGATGGAAATGACTGGAAACGTGGGTTAAGAGGTGGAGACGGCATGAAAAGGTGGAGGAGAATGAAGGACAAATTTGTCCGTGTTATAAAGTCTCTGAAATATATAAACACGTTAGTAAATACACTATCGTGGACCAGGTACATGAGTGTGATGGTGGCAGGATACCGCAGAAAAGCGCTACGCCCTCTGTTGTCCTGGCGGGGAATTGTTTTGCAACACTGCTGCCTGTGCAGAAGTTTGAATGTGAAAACCTTTCTGACACTCCATGCTCGTCTCTTCATTGCGGAGCTCACTGAGAAGTATAAATCAGGCTTAAACAGGGAGGCCCAGGCTTCCCTCTCCCCAGCCACTTGGGCCAGCTCCTCCGGGGAATCCTAAGGAGTTCCCTGGCCAGCCGAGAGACATAGTCCCTCCAGCATGTCCTGGGTCTTCCTTTAGGTCTTTTCCCATTTAGACGTGCCCGGAAAACCTCACCAGGGAGGCGTTCAGGAGGCATCCTAACCAGGTGCCCAAATCACCTCAACTGGCTCCTCTCATTGTGGAGGAGCAGCAGGTCTACTCCGAGCCCCTCACAGATGACCAAGCTTCTCATCCTATTTCTAAGGGTGAACCCAGACACTGTGTGGAGAAAAATAATTTCAGCCGCTTGTATCCGCAATCTCATTCTTTTGTTGCTACCCAAAGCTCGTGACCATAGGTGAGAGTTGGAACATAGATTGCCTGATAAATCGCTCCAGTGAGAGCTGGAGATCACTGTCTGATGAAGCCAACAGGACCACATCATCTGCAAAAAGCAGAAACTCAATTCTTAGGGCTACCAAAACAGATCCCCTCAAAAACCTTGGCTGCACCTAGAAATCCTGTCCATAAAAGTTATGAACAGAAACAGGGTAGCCTTGGTGGAGTCCAACTCTCACTGGTAACAAGCTCGTCTTACTGCCGGCAATGCGGACCAAGCTCTGACACTGGTCATATAAGGACCTAACAGCCCATATCAGAGGACCTCGTTTGTACCCCATACTCCCGAAGTAGCCCCCAAAGGGCCTCCAGAGGGACGCGGTGATTCTCTTAATCCACAAACCACATGTAGATTGTTTGGATAAACTCCCACGACCTCCTAAGGGCATAGAGCTGGTCCAGTGTTCCACGGCCAGGATGAAAACCACATTGCTCCTCCTGAACCCCTGAATAAACCCAACATATAGAATTTTAATTAAACGTTTTCATTTATTTTGTGTTAAATCTCACTGTTTCAGCACCAACAGCAGGTCATGGGCGCCATTGAGCGAGCCAAGCAGGTCACACCTCCAGAGATGAACTCCATCATACGGGTGAGAGCATCTTTACACCCAGATGCTGTTGGGACATTTCTGGGAAGTTGAGCACCTAGAGGAGGGATTAAATAAAATTAAATCATGGATTGTTTATAACTAGATGGAATCTGGTGAGATGTATTCCTTTAATGAACGTGGGCTTAACGTGCTTTTATAACCTCTCGTGTCTTTACTGTTTGTATTACAGCAACAGCTGCAGGTGCAGCACCTGTCCCAGCTCCAGGGCCTGACCCTGCCTGTGACCCCGCTGCCCCTGGGCCTCACCCCACCCTCCCTGCCTGCTGTCTCCTCCAGCTCCGGCCTGCTCTCCCTCTCCTCCATTCTGGCCAACTATTCTCATGGCCAACCGCAGGCGGCAAAGGAGGACAAGGCCAGAGACGGTGCAGAGAGAGCACCCAGGGGGGACGATGGAGACAAGTCAGACTAGAGAAGACATGACGAGGTGGATGGATGGGGTGTGGGGGAAGGTGTAATCTGTCACAAGTGTCAAAAAAGGCAAAGTTGGGGTGTAATTGTAAAGGCAAGTCTTGCTGCTGAGTGTTGTAGAGGAGAAACAGCAGGAAGGGTGATGGGTAAATTTTTAGATGTGCGAGAGATCCTCCAAGGCTGAAACTGGAAGTTTTTATTGTTTAGTGGTCGTAGACCCAGGTTAAGCACCACCATTTGGAATAGATTTTGTTTTTGCTGAAGCTGTTATAAGGCTCAATCAAGAAGGAGGGAGCTGGAAAGTTGAACAGATAACAGATTCGGTTTGTTTTTCTGAATTAATTTGGCGTTCGTTTCCTCTTTGGTCGCTCTGATCGTCCTCTGACAGCCACAGTATGCAGATTTAAAATCCAGCTGCTCTTGGACTTCAGATTTGAAACTCAGCACCGCCATTGTCTATGCTCCAGCACAATAAGTGACCTCAAGCTGTTTGGTTTGCTGATAACATCGTTTTTAGCGTTTGAAGCCAGAATAAAATGTAATCTGATGTGTTTCCGATAAACAAAAAAGTATCTAACTGGTAAAACCAACAGCTTGGGGTTTCATTTGGGTTCACTGGGCTTAAAGCTTCTGAAAATCTGAGAAAAAAGTATATTGTTGTCAGGCATGAATGAAAGTTTCAGACCTGAAAAGTTGTTTGTGTGCAAGTAACAGGAAGGAAGTTTAATTTGACATTTTCCTTGTAGAAAATTTCTGAGACTGCCTTTTCTGCTCTTGTCCCGCCACCATTCTGGTCCAGTCTGACATAAAACGATAAACAGGATTAGAGGCGGACCGATATGTTTGTTTTTAAGGCCAATACCGATTTTTTAAAAATAATTTTGTTGTCGATTGCCGATATGAATACGTTTTAGCAGTACGTTGATTGTGAAGGACAACTGAACACTCACCGTTTGCTATATTAATAAACAAATCAAGAAATCTAATACTTATTGAACTTCAAATAAAAAATTTAAAAATAACTCAAAAGATTAAAAAAATCGGTGTGTTGGAGTCTTTCGGGTTCTTTCTTCGGTCTAATAGTGGCAGCAGTTTGCCACACAGGTGCCTGATTTATTTATTCTTTTTAATCTGCTTTTTAAAATAAGTTCGGCCAATATAGAATAAATGGAATATATCGACCCGATATATCAGCTGTCCTCTAAACAGGAGACAACTGATGCCATCATTTTCTGAAACTTGTTTTCCCTTCTTAGATGTGTGTGATTATCTTCTGTTTAAAACATCAGTTGATTTTAATAGGACTCAACAGAAAGAGCTGCCAAACAAATCACTTAAATGTTAAAACCAGTGTTATTTGCATTGATTTTGGAGATACACCAAAAGTGTCTGTTGGTCAGAACTCGCCGGTATTCACCGTTTTGGTTTAATTGAAGATTGGCCGATCTGAAACAAAAAAAATCTTTTTTTCTTTTTGAAGACTTTAGAAAGACTTGCTAAGCAGATATACACTGCCTGGACAAAAATAAATAAGTTGTCAATTGGATTTAACGAAGCAAATAGATAAGAGCCTCCTATTGGATAATTATTGCATGGGTGTTTATCTTTCAGCTGGGAACAAGTTATTTAAACCCAAATGGTGCAAAGAGTCTCTTCTCATTTCTGCTCATCACCTCATTTCCACAACCAAGTGGACAGATACATCTCGTTGTTGCGAAAAAGATGTTTGTTTGAGATAGGTCAAATCATTGGCATGCATCAAGAAGAGAAAACATCTGAGATTGCAGACACACAACTAAAATTGCATTAAGAACTGTCAAACACATTATTAAAAACTGGTCTGATGAGTCCAGATGGACCCTGTTCCAGAGTGATGGTGCATCAGGGTAAGAAGAGAGGCAGATGAGGTGATGCACCCATCATAGTGCCTACTGAGCAAGCCTGTGGGGGCAGTGCTATGATCTGGGGTTACTGAAGTTGGTCAGGGCTAGGTTCAGCAACAGGATGTGCTCCCAAGTAGTTCAGCCGACTACCTGAACACACTGAATGACCAGTTTATTCCATCTTCCCTGATGGCACAGGCATATTCCAAGATGACAGTGTCAGGATTCATCGGGCTCTAAAATAGTGAAGAATGGTTCAGGGAGCATGAGACATCATTTTCACACATGGATCGGTCACCACAGAATCCAGACCTTAACCCCAGTGAGAATCTTTGGGATGTGCTGGAGAAGGCTGTGCAGTGGACAGACTACCATCATCAATGCAAGACCTTCGTAAAACATTAACGCAACACCAGATGGAAATAAATCTTGTTGCATAAGCTAATTGAAACGACGCCACAGAGAATGTGTGCTGTACTCAGAGCTAAAGATGAAATATTTAGTGATGTAACCTTTTATCTTTTTGGCCTGGCAGTGTACATAAAAAGAATACCAAAGTTTTTCCTGGTTTTTAAACACACTTCAGATGAGCACTTATCCACACTCGGAATAGCAGACTATGTAGACTCCCCCCCCCCCCCCCCCCCCACATAGAAATGCACAGTTATTGGCCAATATTCTGCATGATGGGTTTAATTCCTAATTTCTTTGTGTCTCTTTTGGCATTTCCCTTAAGGGTCACCACAGCAAATCATCTGTCTCCATTTAGTCCTACTTCCATGAGGAATTTTGGTTAAGTCCTTTTTGAATATTCTGTTTATATTTTGAGATAGATCTGAATCATCCAAACTGGTATCGGCCGCTCAGAGCTACATAAGAATTGGAATCGGTGCATCTCTACTTTCAGAATCCTCATTTAGGGGTTAAGCAGGCATTTGAAAAATCATATACTAGCAATCATAACTGGAGAAAATATGTATTAGCAGGTAAGAGTTGAGATGTTTCAGTTGGTATTGGTCCTTTAAACCACAATTATCTTTAATTCATTTGGTCTCACTTTTGCCCAACTAACAGTCTGTTCCTGTCTTTAGTGCATTGCGCTGTTTAACTCTAAATCCCAACAATTTAGTCTGATGTTTGTCGAATCAGCACAGAACTCCTGTAACTTCGGTTGGGAAGTTTTCTGAAACTTCACTTAAAGGAACATAATTTCACTTTGAGCTAAATGCCCTCTTTTAGTTGAAATACGACAGCCCAGAATCCACCTAAATATTAATTACAAAAACAAGCAGGGAGCTGTAGGTGTGCAATCCTGGTGTTTCTGCCTGTATTCAGGAGAAATGGAGTCAGTTGGTTGCTAGTCGTTTCCCCCCTCATTGAAAAACACAAAAGAAATGCACCTGTACTGCTAAATGAAAGAGGTCATTTACGTTGGCACTTGTCTTTAAAAGTTTAGTTTTAACCGACGTGCATCGAGTGGCATGCATGTTGCATAATTTCCTGTATGTTGCTAGCATGTTGGATTGAACTGCAGAGGGCAGCAGTGAGCTTCAGCATGAAGTCTTAGAGGCTTGTGTGTAATGAATCAATCTAAAGGGAGTCCAGATCTGTCTGCTGTCATCCAGTATTCTATTCTGTTATTCCTGTTCTGTCACTCCTTCTGTGTCGTGAGTTCTTTCCAAAGCTTCTAGCAATCCCCTCTAAACTCGGAACATTTGAGATCAGTGTTTTGTTTCGGTAAGCCCTTCAGGTGTGTTAAAATTTTTTTAGGAAGGTGTGAAAAGTTTTGACCTTAATATATGGAGCACGATACGTCATCTTGCTCCATACGTTGATGACAAACTCTGAAGTTTATTTTGGGGGGCTAAACTCAGACGTGGAAAAGTTTGGAGAATTTGTATACATGTGGATATATCAATATACATATTTTTAAAGCATTTTTGTATGTTTCAAAGCTGCTTTTAAGTGTGTGCTTATCATGACAGACTGGTGTTGTGAGTGCACACATTACAAGCCTAAAGGCACAACGTTGTAATCCATGAGTTGTCTGGGGAGGGGGGTCCTTCTACTCATTCTTTTGTTAGGTTGTAAAATGTAACATTAATTCTAGTTTGTATATGTTTTTTTATGTGTGCTAAACTGTTACATGTGTTTATAAACACATTTTAAAATACTGTCAACAAAAAAAAAAGATGTAAGCAACTGTGTACTTGTGAGAATGAATCAACCTTTTAGCAGTAAGGAAGCTCCTCTGGTGCCTTACAAATAAAAGTTGTGATTAAAAGTGCTTCTCTGTGTGATTGGTTAGAAAGAGCTAGTGGGGAAATAATAATACAGGGAGTGCAGAATTATTAGGCAAGTTATTTTTGAGGAATAATTTTATTATTGAACAACAACCATGTTCTCAATGAACCCAAACAACTCATTAATATCAAAGCTGAATGTTTTTGGAAGTAGTTTTTAGTTTGTTTTAGCTATTTTGGGGGATATCTGTGTGTGCAGGTGACTATTACTGTGCATAATTATTAGGCAGCGTAACAAAAAACAAATATATACCCATTTCAATTATTTTTACCAGTGAAACCAATATAACATCTCCACATTCACAAATATACATTTCTGACATTCAAAAACAATACAAAAAAAAAAAAATCAGCGACCAATATAGCCACCTTTCTTTGCAAGGACACTCAAAAGGCTGCCATCCATGGATTCTGTCGTGTTTTGATCTGTTCACCATCAACATTGCGTGCAGCAGCAACCACAGCCTCCCAGACACTGTTCAGAGAGGTGTACTGTTTTCCCTCCTTGTAAATCTCACATTTGATGATGGACCACAGGTTCTCAGTGGGGTTCAGATCAGGTGAACAAGGAGGCCATGCCATTAGTTCTTCTTCTTTTATACCCTTTCTTGCCAGCCATGCTGTGGAGTACTTGGACGCGTGTGATGGAGCATTGTCCTGCATGAAAATCATGTTTTTCTTGAAGGATGCAGACTTCTTCCTGTACCACTGCTTGAAGAAGGTGTCTTCCAGAAACTGGCAGTAGGACTGGGAGTTGAGCTTGACTCCATCCTCAACCCGAAAAGGCCCCACAAGCTCATCTTTGATGATACCAGCCCAAACCAGTACTCCACCTCCACCTTGCTGGCGTCTGAGTCGGACTGGAGCTCTCTGCCCTTTACCAATCCAGCCACGGGCCCATCCATCTGGCCCATCAAGACTCACTCTCATTTCATCAGTCCATAAAACCTTAGAAAAATCAGTCTAGAGATATTTCTTGAACCAGTCTTGACGTTTCAGCTTGTGTGTCTTGTTCAGTGGTGGTCGTCTTTCAGCCTTTCTTACTTTGGCCATGTCTCTGAGTATTGCACACCTTATGCTTTTGGGCACTCCAGTGATGTTGCAGCTCTGAAATATGGCCAAACTGGTGGCAAGTGGCATCTTGGCAGCTGCACGCTTGACTTTTCTCTGTTCATGGGCAGTTATTTTGCACCTTGGTTTTTTCACATGCTTCTTGCGACCCTGTTGACTATTTTAACTGAAACGCATGATTGTTCGATGATCACTCTTCAGAAGCTTTGCAATTTTAAGACTGCTGCATCCCTCTGCAAGATATCTCACTATTTTTGGCCTTTCTGAGCCTGTCAAGTCCTTCTTTTGACCCATTTTGTCAAAGGAAGTTGCCTAATAATCATGCACACCTGATATAGGGTGTTGATGTCATTAGACCACACCCCTTCTCATTACAGAGATGCACATCACCTAATATGCTTAACTGGTAGTAGGCTTTCGAGCCTATACAGCTTGGAGTAAGACAACATGCATGAAGAGGATGATGTGGACAAATTACTCATTTGCCTAATAATTCTGCACTCCCTGTACAACTGGAACTCAAATTACAATAGTGTGCAAAAGTTAATTTATTTGAGTAGTTCAACTTAAAAGGTGAAACTAAAATGAGACTCATTACATGCAAAGCCAGATATTTCAAGTTTTTGTTACAATTGTGATGATAAAAGTTTACAGCTGATGAAAACCCCAGTTTCAAAATCTCAGAAAATTTGAATATTGTGAAAAGGTTCACAATTCTAGAATCAGAATTATGTTTATTGCCAAGTGAGTGAGTTATCAATACCAGGACTTGTTTTCAGTAGAATGGTTGAAACAATTGCAATCAATCGTTTCTAATCACTTAGCCCTCTCACTGTCTTCATGGGTGACCCTGTAAAGAAAGTTGACCATTGAGCTGGATTGATGGTTTATCCCTTGAGGTCCACATGGCAGGGGTGAGGAGTGAGCACCACCTCACCCCTGCCATGTGGACCTCAAGGGATAAACCATCAATCCAGCTCAATGGTCAACTTTCTTTACAGGGTCACCCATGAAGACAGTGAGAGGGTTAAATCAGATCACATAGATGGTTTTGATTGCTTGTACATATTGTATATGAGAACAGTCCTTTGTCTAACAGTTTTATCTTGATCTTGTTTGTTTTGATCGTGTCTGTTCTTTGATGTTAAGCAATGTGTCGGTTGCTACTGCCTCTTGGCCAGATCGTCATTTTAAATGAGAATTAATTCTCAATCAACTCATCTGGTTAAATAAATAAAACAAAAGTCAGGCAAGTGAAGAATTAGCATAAAAAAAGCTACATAAAAATAGTTAAAAATACACAAGAAACATAGGTGACTAGTTCAGATCTGTATGGTTGTGATAGTTATTTGGTGTTTAGGAGTCTCACAGCAGAGGGGAAGGGGCTGTTTTTGTGGCATAAGGTTCTGGTCCATCCATTTTCCTCCACTTATCTAGGATCAGGTCGTGGGAGCAGCAGCTTAAGCAGAGAGGCCCGGACTTCCCTCACCACAGCCACTTGGGCCAGCTCCTCCGGGAGAATCCTACAGCATTCCCAGGCAAGCCAAAGAACAAAGTCCCTCCATGACTGGACATGCCTGGAAAACGTCTCGATTGGCTCCTCATGTGGAAGAGCAGTGAATCTACTGAGCCCCACCCAGATAACCAAGTTTCTCACCTCATCTTTAAGGTAAAGCCCAGACTCCTTGTGCAAAAAAACCATTTCGGTCTCTTGCAGCTGCACTTTATTTATTTTAGTCATGACTATAGATGAGTGTTGGAATGTAGTTTGACCAGTAAATCAGGAGCTTCGCCTTTCAGATCAGCTCTCTTCATCACAACATACCGGTACTATGCACATATGACTAGATGCAGCACCAATCCGCCTATTGATCTCCTGCTCCATCTTTTTTTCCTTCATGTACAAGACTTGAGATACTTCAATCCTCCCACTAGTGGCAGGACCTGGAGAAGACATTTTACCCTTTTCTGGCTCAAGACCATGGTCTCAAATTTGAAGTCGCTAGTGTCATCCACATCCATCATTGCCAGAAAGTAGATACCTGATCCTTAGGCCACCAAAACATATCTCGGCACCAAATCCTGTCCATGAAGGTTATGATGAGAATCTGTGACAAAGGGCAACCTTGTCAAAGTCCAACTCTCACTGGAAAAAAAGCCCCCTTGCTGCTGGCAATGCAGACCAGGCTCCGAAATTGAGCATACAGAGACCTGACAGCCCGAATCTCATATGCCTCCAGGGCTTTGCTACCGAAGAGTTTTTTTTTGACCACCTTAATGACTTCAGCACAAGCGTGGAGAGCCCAAAAAAAGTCTCCAGGCTCTGCTTCCTTACAGAAGACGTGCTGGTTGGATTGAGGTGGTCTTTGAAGCACTCTGTCCATGACGTCCCATGTTGAGGTCAAAAGCACACAGTCCCCACTAAACAACATTGGAAGTGTGTCTCTTCCCTCTCTGGAGATGCCGGACGGTGGACCAGAATTCAAAGCCGTATGGAAGTCTCCTTGGCCTCACCAAAGTCCTACCATGCCATAGTTTTGTCTCAACAACCACTTGTGCTGCATTCAGCTTGGGCTGCCAGTACCCATTAGCTGCCTCTGGAGTCCCACTAGCCAAATTACCCAGTTGAACTCCATATTCTGCTTGATAGGATCCCTCACCAGCATTGCCCATTAGAGAATTCAAGGGTTGCAGTTCAAGGGTTACAGCCACAACTACTCTGGGGCCACAGCTCCAGTCAGCTGCCTCAGCAATGGAGGTATGAAACATGGCTCACGCAGACTCAATGTTTCCTGCCCACATGAGCATTGCTGTCCCCCAACAAAACAAGGGAGTCTCCTGGAAGGAGATCTCTCCGGCACACAACACCCCTCCCCAGGGGGCAATCTGACCTCCTGTTTGGTGCAAAAACACACCAAAAAAACCCATCTCCCCACACGTAGGTGGTGGGAGGCTTCCCTCTCATTCATTTGGGCAAATTCTAAAGTATAAGCACAGAGGTGACATTCCACGTACCAAGAGCAAGTTGTAGCCAAGGATCTGACCCCCATTGTCCCCACTGCCCATGTCATACTATAGAGCTCTGGGCGTCATGTGACTCTCAGAGAGTAGACGCCATGTTGGCAGGCAACAAAGGTAAACAAAATGAACGGGATCGGCTTGGATTTTACTCCGTCAGAGTTTACTTCACACTTTAAAACCGAAGAAATTGTTTTATATAGTCAGAAATTAAATAGACTAAACATCTCCGACCCTTACCGTGCCCCTGGGATACTTTTTAAATACGCCAGAAGCTGTCGGAGCGGAATTCTTACCGGACCTGGCCAGGGAAAGCCTTGGGATTCCCCCGGAGGAGCTGGCCCAAGTGGCTGGGGAGAGGGAAGTCTGGGCCTCTCGACGCTACTGCCCCCGCAACCCGACTCCGGATAAGCGAATGAAACTAGATGGATGGATGGATGGACAAATAACATAGATTTACATGCAAGTAGTTTAAATAGAGTGCTGTGCTGTTTGAATGTATAAACTGAACGCCAAGAGAAATCACTAGTCAGATTTTTTTCCGTGAATAAAATAAATGTCAGGCAGGAGCGTCTCGGGATGTGTCTGAGATCTGTCTCGGTGAGACAGATAATAGCAATCCAAAGTGCTTTTTATGTGTGATCTGACAATTGATCAACCATTGCTTAAAAATTAAATACAGCTTAGCTGGTTTATTGCTGATTATAAGACACGTAAACGGCAGCAAGCAGAACTCACGAGGCAACGTTTTACATGACGTTTACGTTTTACGTGATGTTTACTTGTTGCTATGAGTAATAAGACCGAAAAAGCCACACCAAAATAAGTTTAGGAAGCCCACTAAGAAGCATAATAAAAGCATTTAAATAAATACCATACACAGTCGAGGAAACGTTGGTTTAAGTACCTGATATGAAGTGGTCGCTGCACAAGCGAAAACCTTTACTCTCGGGATCCCACAGCTTCATTTTAGCCCGGTCACTAGTGCGTTTTATTACAATGATCCAACATCTGCGGTGCTCCGGATCTTGGGGAATCCTGTAGATGGCTCATTCCTTATGTCGTCCGCGTCTGTTCTGCATCCTGGGGCACAACAGGAATCTACCATATTTCCCGTTTGAGTTTTCTGACAATAACAAATAGTCCAGCTGCGGGCTTCTGCCTGCCAATATGGTGCCATTTCGATTTGAACTGTTGCATGCCGGGAGAAGTGACGTCAACTCCCGGAGCGCTATATCCAACCCCTTTGGCTCCTCCCAAGAGTGGTGAACCCATGAGAATGATAACAGATGTCTCCCCTTCAGGCTGAATCTGTACTCAATGGCCAAAATCCTAGCCACCAGGTAATAGCCAACATGCGCAACCTAGGCCTGGCTCCAGAAAGAAGCCTCAAGTGTCCCGCATCAGGATAAGGAAACAGTTTCACCTTATATAAACCATCTTAAAGGCCGTCTGGGCTGCACTTTGTCCAATGCCTCACGTAGTACCTGTTTGCCATGGGTGACCCTACCAATGGCATAAAGTCCCACTCAAACCCCTCCACCACAATAAGGTAGCAGCCCACTTATGTGATACACGATTTTCTCTGTAGACTGAATTCTGTAATAATCATTTAACAAGTCTGGATTATAGAAATGATTCAAGAGAAAACCTTTATTTACAGTTGTCTGTTCTGCGTGTTTGTATGTGTGTGGTTTAACACACCATTTATTTTCTTTGAGTGGAATCTCACAACCGTCAGCAGCAGGTTCAGACACGAACTTCGTGATTGTGCATCCTATCTGGAATGCAGAAAAGAATGGAGGGGGAGAGAAATGACATGCATTCTCCATTTGTCAGTCAACGGTATGTCTGTCCCCCTCCTGTTGAAGGAAGCACACAGACGCTCGACACGCTGGCTTAGGTTTATAAAGAAATTGCACAAAAAGACAGGATAATATTCAGTTTCACAGCACAGTATACAGCAGAGATGAGAAAATGTTTTGTCAGACACAGAAGAAAAGGGGTAAATACGCCCCTGTCGTGTTTCCATTGGCAGGTGGTCAACTTTTCTTTAGGACACAATGTCTATAAAGGAAATGGGGGTGGGTGGGGGGGTGGGGGGTGGGTGGGTGGGGGCAGTGAAAAGACACACGACAGAAGATTACAGATGAATCATTTTAAAAACCACTACAAAATTAGTAACCGTGGTTGCAAACAAGATACAAAATGTTCAAATTTACACTATTCTGTGTTCAAAATGTGAGTTTAAACCATTATAAGATTATAAAATATAGGCAGAGAGAATTAAAGTGTCAGGGATAAGTAAATACTTTCAGCTCCAGTGTGGCATTAGTCTGCATCAAACTTTTATGAGAACATGAAACATTCTTTAATAAATTTGTCAGGACTTTTTCTTTTGTTTTGTAATTACTTTCAGTTTCACACAAATGTAAGCTTGCACTTGCCAAACAAGAAATCACCAAAAACATATAAATGGTTCACACACACATAAAAACACTATAAAATCCTCATGGCGCTTCAACACTTTTTCTTAGTTTTTGTTTTTGATAGTTCTTTAGGTAACGGTGCTGCTGTTAGAGCTGATGGGTCTGGTTCTAGGGGCTCATACGGTTCCAGAGCAGTTGTGGTGGTGGTTTCTGTTTTCTGGGTCCAAAGCTTTGGGGCTTGGTTTACTCTCTAGGTGTTCGTCTTCTGGTGTTTCTGGTTGTGAGCTGGGCGGAGTCCGCTGCTTGTGGAAGTCTGACAGGTATCGAACCTGGAAGCAGAGGGAGCGATGAGCACTCAGAGGGTTCAAAGTAAAATACAAAGATAAACACATTACAGGCAGGCAGGCGTGTTTTCACAAATACCTTTAATTTTTTTACAGCTTTTGAATTAAATCATTTCTCCTTTGTAGCTCATGAATTATTTTTTTAGATTAGATTAGATTTTTAAAGTGGATTGTTTATTTGGAGGGCATGACAAAATGCATAGAAAATCCAAGAACTATTGATATCCTGCATGTTCCACATTGCTCTTAAAGCAGCCCAAGTTTGGAGAAATAGATATTAGCTGTGAGCTCAAAGCTAATCACAATGGAGCCAGTTCCAAAATAAATGTAGACACAGAAACCATCAGATGCTGTCAGAGCCTGTGGAGAACAATGTTGGAGCTTTTACAGTGGCTGGACTTTGTATATTTTTGGCCAAAATGCACATATTATTTTTGGTGTGCAGGAACTTTATACTATTGTGTTTACATTATGACTTTACATTAGGGATGTAAGAAAATATCAATATCGCAATATATCGTGGTATTTTTTCCTGCTATATTACATAGATATTCAAAGCCGTTTATCTAACTTTGGAAGAATTTACATGCAAACATTTGTCTATTTTCTTTTCTTTTGCTGCATTTCAAACGCCGACCGCTAGTTGGTAGCAGTGTGCATTTTTTTTTGTTTCCACCATTGAAATGTAAACCCTCCATAGGGAGCCTAAGTCACACCCACCTACTTCCGCATCATAGGTCCCTAGAAGAATGGATAACTGAACGCAAGTCAACGGGGCTAAAACACTATTTTCTAATTCCGCTTGCTTTGTGCCATGGATTTCACATATGGTGTCCGTGAATTTTAAAGACACATTTTAATACCAGGAATGTGCTTATTTTTGAACTGGGGGGAAAAGTTTGTAATTAGAATGACTACAAATTAGACATCAGCACGTCGTATATATGACGTCAGCATAAAATCTCCTCCCCCCTAGCGTAGCTGCTACTTACCACATGGCCAGATTTATGGTGTTTTTTTGTCCTTCGGAAGGATCTGAGGTTCGCTAAACTGACAGCCATTTTCCCTCTGTTTTTCTCCGTGTCTGGTTTGATGATGTCACTTTTGTGAAGCGTATTTGTAGCCCTGGACTTATTTTCACACAAAACCCAAAATAGCGTTTGAAAATAAGCGCGTTCTTGGTATCAAAATGCTTGTTTAAAATTCACGAGCATCATATGTGAAATCCATGTCACATAACAAGCGGAATTAGAAAAATGGGTTTTAGCCCCACTGACCTGCATTCATTTTTTCATTCTTCCGGGGACCCATGATGCAGAAGTAGGTGGGCGTGACTTAGGCTCCAGATTATGGTTTGGATACCTCAAACATGTTAAGTATCAGTTTGGTTTATTGAATATTTCTACAATAAATTCAGTCAAAAGAAAATCGCTAATAACATCTGACTGAATGTATCGCAATGTACCGTGATGTATTGCATCGTCTCCCCGTATCATTATACGTATCGTATCGCCTGAATTTCACTAATACACATCCCAACTTTACATTATTGCAACTTTAAATGCTCCAAGTAAAAAAAGCAAATAAAACACATTTATTCTTTCTTTGAGCGAGTATTAAAGGGTTAAACATTTTATAGTAAATGCCATTTTATTATCCTTCACACTTCTGTTCATTTTCCATTGCACAAGTATTTTAAAAGTATGAAATCCTGACTGGAAGTAAACTCTGAACTGAAAATGTTGCAGATAAGTTTAGAATGCATTTTTTTCAAATGGTTCATTTTTAATAATCTCATCCTGCACAGAGCAGGTTTGACAGCAGAAGCAAACTCACAGTGAGCACTGCGATGAGAGCTCCCTGCAGCAGTCCCACCAGGACGTCACTCCAGTGGTGTTTGTTGTCTGAAACACGCGTGTATCCCACAAAAAGAGAAAACGACACCAAAAAGAACTGGATGGTGGGCCGGACCAGTCTGGTCCACTTCCCCTGCATTCTAGCCTGGATGTAGAGCTGCAGAAGCAAAAACGCATAATAAAAATCTGTCAAATTGTATAAAAACTATTTGTGAAATCGCCGTTTTAGATGAAGACTGGCCCTCATAAAAGTGTCACATCAAAACAATGTAGCAAACATTTCACACTTTTAAAGAACACACTAATAAATCTGTCACTCTCCGGCCATTGTGCAATGTGCACGTTGTTACAACAATGGTGTTTTTAAACCAGAGGATGATATCCGTCCTGACCGCTTTCTCCTGTTTTGGCTCATTTCTGTGTTTTTTTTGGCAAACAGTTGATCCACAGCTGCACCACCAAGTGTCCCGAAACAAACACTCACCGACAAAAAGAGCATGCAGTACATCCCAAACGACGAGTGGCCAGAGTAAAACGACAACCTGACAAGAAAAACAGGTGATTTATTTTTAGAAATGAAACATACAGTGTTCAATATGCATCTGCCATGAGATCCGTGCTCCTCACTGGTTTAGTAGAAACGTGGAAATAAGAAAGCCCACCTGGATTCTGTCACATTGCGTGGGTTTCCTGTACAGTTGATCTGCAGCAAGTATCCTTCACAGTGCACAGGCGCACACACAGATAAGAAATTTGGACGTGGACGACCGATGGTGAACTTCGCCAAGTCAGTGAGCGACTGGCTGACAGCTGCCCCGAACAGAAAGGTGCCGACCACCTTGTAGAGGGCAGACAGGTAATTGTTGAAAGTGGAGTTGGAGTGCAGACGTTTTGTGTGCACAAGGTAAGCTTCTCCTACTGTAATCTGCAAAAAAGACATGAAACAGTTTTGGCCTTTTGTTAGACGTGTTCTTTAAACTTTTCTATGGGTAAAAGAGGTCACAGCAAGACTCACAATGACTATTGAGCAGATGATGGTGACAGCAGCCATGGTAGCATAAGAGACTGTGTCGCTCCTGTAGGGATATTTGATGCTCTCATCATTGCAGTAGATTCCTCTCTGATAAGGCTTAAACCGCAGGGTGAGGATAGCTGAAGGTAAAGATGCTGGAGAACAAAAACAAACATATCTTTAGTCAGAAACACCAAGTAAGCAATGCAGCAGTTAATAATCAATGATTTTATCCACAAATAAGAGCCAAGTAATTATTTAAACACCATCTTTAGAACAAGTTCACACTTAAGTTCTGGTGAAAGCCTCAAATTATAAAATATGTAGTTTGTCTTTTAGGACTTCCCTAAGTTATTTAATATCCAAGTATTTCCATATAAATATATAAACAGAGCTTAGAATTTCTATATTTCTCTGGCTTTTTATCCACGCATTCATCCATCCAAATCTCCCTTTCTCCTCGTCTCATTCTTCCTCTTCCTTTCTCTTTATGGATCTTTATAAGATTGCTTGTCTTTTAAAAAAGTGTAAAAAACAAACAACCTTTTATTTCAATTCATTGATTAATAAATGCAATTTTGGTTCGAGACTGAATCTAAATTCTTTTGATTTCATTCAAGCATACGTGTATAAATAAAAGCTTTTTCAGCAAGAGCAATTACGATTCTGGTTCTTGCTAAACGTTCATTTGTAATATTTTTTATTTTTGATGCAATTAAACTTGAGCACAGAAGCGCTGAATTGGGAAAAAATGAGCTATTCTGTTCACATCCTAAAAAGAACAAGAATAATCAGCAAAGCCCAGCGGGATCGTATGAGAACGTGTTCCCACAAGGAAAACAGATTAATGGGCTGAAAAGAAAAAGTTCTTACTGGGTCTATAGCTATCGTGTGGAAATTCACCGTGGTCAGGTTTATACTTTTCTTTTTCGACGTCCTCTTGCTGTAACAAAGACTTATAGTAATTTCTGTAAGTTGATACAGGAACTGAAACAGCTGAAGTTTTTTCTCCATTTTCTACGTAAGCAGCTTTAACAGGTTACTCTCAGCACAATCCGCTCAGGAAACGGCTAAAAACACAGCAACATTTCTTTTGTCAGCTTTGTGAAGAGGATCCAGTTCTGCCAAGTGGATTAATTTGTCATCGAGAGCAGCAGCTTCACCTCTACAAGTCACATTTGCCCTCAATAGAGGAACTTCCTGTAACCGCGGAAAGCGCCGGACACTACAGCCATGAAGTTTGACATCAGGGGCATTAACACAGTGAAGGGCCTGGGAACAGAGTGCTGGAGTCACACACACACACACTCGTCTCTGAAGACGTGTCTGTACACACTTAGAGCAGCAGTAAAAAACTGTTGACTTCTGAAGAGGTGTGTATTTATAAGATCTCATTTAGGAACTTTCTACAATTGTTTTGAAAAACTTTCTACTGAAACTGACAGAATTTTTGAATCAGGTTATACATATATATCTATATCTATCTATCAATCTATCTATCTATAAGTAGAGAGAGAGAGAGAGAGAGAGAGAGAGAGAGAGAGAGAGAGAGAGAGAGAGAGAGAGAGAGAGAGAGAGAGAGAGAGAGAGAGAGAGAGAGAGAGAGAGAGAGAGAGAGAGAGAGAGAGAGAGAGAGAGAGAGAGAGAGAGAGAGAGAGAGAGAGAGAGAGAGAGAGAGAGAGAGAGAGAGAGAGAGAGAGAGAGAGAGAGAGAGAGAGATCTAATCACTGCATTTTATTGGTTTGGTGGGAAAATCACAGCACTCTGATGGCAGGTAGGATGTTACTAAAACAACAAAGATGCCGACTGCTCATTTGAAACACCTTTGACATCAACTTAGGACTATTTTGAGTTGGGCTTTTCTTCGACTCAAGAGCAGATAGAGGTACTTAAGTTCATTTAAAAAATGGATGTATTTGCATCTTCTTTGATGGAGAATGGCGGACTGCCTCGTAGCTGTGAGTACGTCACGTTTGGTATCTCAACAGCGTGTGTAGACAGTTTCAAGGACAACCATAGATCACATCCCACAACTAAGAGCCATCAATGGATTGTCTAGCGCCACCCTTTCTTTGGAGAATTTCACAGGGATTAAAAAAAACATTTGCTACATGATACAGTAGCTTTTAGGTTCAGTTAAGGTTCCTTTTAAGTGTTGACTTACCCCCAGAAAGGGTAAGTATGTTTGGAGAAGAAGAAAGTCATGGAATGCCACTCTACTCTGTGGAATGGGATATTACTCAACACATTAATTCTTCTTCATCCATTTTACAAATGGTTTTGATTTGATCAAGGAGACGGTGACGCTACATGATCAGAGAAAATCAGTGGATTAGAAGCTGCTGTAATGGTGGAGCTGGATTTTGTTAAAGGTGAAACAGCAAACTCCACAACAATGTATTATAACTGTTTAGCTCCTAATTTGTCATCAAATGAGAAGCATGTAGGAGCTTGTGAGAGGAAGTCCTAAAAAGGCTCAAGTGTTAGTGACATTTGTCATCATCTCATCTAAATGTCCTTTGATGATGTTCCATTTCCTTATTAAAGAGAATTGTTTTCATGCAAGGAAGTCCTCCCTTCACTCTCTCCATCTCCATGTTCATTCTTCCATCAGGTCAAAGTGTGCGACTCACTGACTCCACTTAGAAGTCCAACCAGTGTTTATTCTGCAGGGTGCTGGGATAACATTTAGATAAGAGACTTCTGCTTTGAATCCAGTCTCCAGAGATTACACACGGCCCAGATGAACATGCAAAACCAAATCCATTCAACCAGTTTATGAGGAATTGTATCAAAGACCAGCTCAGTTTCTGGAAGTCTGAGTCCATTTGTTGTTTTTTGTCGGGTTTTCAGTCAGATGACAATCCAGCCATTTTTACACCAATCTGTGTGAGATACAAAACCTAAACCACTTCAGTGTCAAGCCAGAAATTCCTACAAAATGCTCAAGACAAAGTTTCAAAGGCAAAGTAAGATCCAGTAGAACAAGCAGCATATGCCTGATGCTATCAGTTACTAGAAGAATGTCACTCGTGACCTTCAGCAAAGCTCTCTTTGCTATGGAGTTTTAAAACCAGATCAAAAGATTTCTAAAATATTGTGTTCTTTCAAAATGGTCGTACACACATCATTCTAACAACTTGTTTAATAAACGGAGCTCAAGGTTAGGTGGCAAACCCAGGTTCCTTAAGCAGTAGATGAAAGACCATTAATCATTTGACACATTATTATATAAAACTTTACATTAACTTGTTTTTTTTTTTTACAAGGCATTTTATGATCATTACTGAGAATAAATGTCACCACAATCACCAAAGTGTTGGACAGATCCTGCAGAAATTTCTAAATATTCCTTCTGAAATTATTTTTTAATGAAAACGATAGAATTTTATGGATGTTTGATTACTTATTTTTGCCCATCCATCAATCCACTCACTGACTCTTAGTCAGAACCTAATTGACGTAGATGCAGTCAGACCAGGGCTCCCTCCTTTAATCTCCTCCTCCCTACCTCTTACAGCCCATTTGGGGTTTACTGGGGGCATTGCCAGTTCTGTTCTAGAGGGGACAATCTCCCAGCACTTCCCAGACATGTTCCAATGTCCTAATACAGGGATTCTCTAAGTGTGGTGCGCGCACCCCCAGGGGTGAGCTGCCGCTAGGGGGGTGTGCAAGGTGAAAAGTGTAATGGCTGCGGAGCTCAGAGAAGTCTGTCAAAAGTCACCATTAGCGTAGCCAGAAACTCATTTGTGGGTGGGCCTAAGAAAAAGTAAGTGGGCCCAATAAATGTAATTGAAAACAAGTATAGTTTTGCTTGTGTGTGTGTGTCCTCCGCATGTGCCCTAGCTTCATAATAATGATGCGCTCCGAGCTTCAGCACTCTGGGCCTGCGCCACGCTGTCAATAGCAAGATATGTTCCGTATTTGATCATTTTTAACGATGTTGGAGAAATCTGAAGGTGGTGAGTCATTCTGGCAGATTGTAATTAACACCCTGTCTCATGCAGGTGTTCTGACATTGTAAACCTCACACACAGAACATTGTGGATGTAACAAAATAAATCAAGAAATGATTCCCATCTGAGCATTTTAGCATTATTACATTATTATATTAGCACGCTGACTGTGGGACAGCATTCTAAACGTGTCAGGCTATTAACAGCGTGCTGAAGATCTGAAGTTCAGAGTGCGTCTGCCAGAGGTCAGACGCGTTCCAGCAGAACCACGGCTCACAGGTGCACATATTAGCACATCTGGGCTGGGCAGAAGTAATTTTACAACATTAGTTTAAATAGCGCCAATAACGAGACACGGTGACTGGAGCGGCTCATGGAGCTGTGCTGTGCTGTGCTGTGCTGTGCACACACACACACACACACACACACACACACACACACACACACACACACACACACACACACACACACACACACACACACACACACACACACACACACACACACACACACACACACACACACACACACACACACACACACACACACACACACACACACACAGATTCAACAAGCGCACGTTGCGCTGTGCCGTCAGACTGAAGGCAGAAATGAGCGCTGCCTTCCTCCACGATAAACTTTTAAGAGGTTTTAGAACAACAATTTTCATTCAAGGTCATATTAAGATATTAGCTTCTATTTTGGGATGACGTATTAAAGTCGAATCCTCTCCAGCCAGTGACTCCTCATGAACCTGACTACAACTCATGTTACTACAGCATTTGTTATTCCAGTCCGCGTGGCAGCGGATCGCAGATTCAGCCACACCGTAAAACAGCAATAAGTCTGAGGCAAAAGTGAACCTCATGGCTATAGCTAGGGCTGTAGCGACGCCTCGATGACGTTGACGGCTCGATTCTAAAAATTTGTCGACGTCAGATCCGGTAGTCGACGCACCGCGCCCACTTGTTGCATCCACAGGAGTTTGTAAAATGAAGAGGAATCTGCCTGTTTTTCCTCCTCTAGTTCGCCCTCTTCTCGCCTTCACTAACATCTCCACCAAATACCGAAGACCCCGGAATAATGTCCGTCCGCTACTAGATTCCTTTCCTGTTTTGACCGCCTTTGTCTCCCGGCAACGGACAACAACTTCCGGGGTCAGATGGGCTGCTCCGTCTCTACCGCAGATGTAGAAAATC